ATACTTTGGCTCTTTCAAGAAGTTATATGAGGTCTGATGTGAGCTCCAGCATAACTGGAAGAATAGTGGATTTTGTTTTGCTCTGCTGGTGCTCTAGTGGGCAGCACTTCCATAAACAGAAAGATGCCTTCCATGCGTGTAGATGTAAACCTGTGAATCCATCCCATGCTGGTATAATTCAAGGTGCCCACTCTCTGTAACTTACTTCTTAGCTACCAAATGAAGTCAGCATGGTTTCATTTTCCTCAAAAGTTTTGGAGGTGGAAGCACTTCCACTTCTGTTTGGTTATGCCTGAATATTTGGGGGGGGGGGTTGACCTTGTGGAAGAAGATATCTAGTACATCCTTCTACAAGGAACCCATCCTTGCAGACAACAGGCATTACCGTACTATGTCACCCTGGCCACTGATTGGCTATGACAGTGTTCCCCAGCTTGTTCTGGTTACTCTTGAGCATCACGGGGGCAAGGAGCAACCTTACACTGCCCCAGTCTTCATCTTCTTCCTTCCATGCTTAAAAGCAACTAGAACAAGTCTTTCTACTTATGTAAGTGCAGATACACAACTCCAGCCAGTAAGTGGCTGGGGTAGTAGAGCTATAACTACCCAGAAAGCAGCCAGGCAGCAGGAGAAGCCTCTGCTGTCTGTCCAAGTGTGCTATCAGAGACTTGCATTTCAATAAGCATAATGGAAGATTTCAGCCAAAATTGCTGATGCCTGTAAACTTTTCTCAAAGGGTAAGTGTGTGAACGAGAGAGAGAGAAAGGGAGAGAGCGAGAGAGTGCATATGCGTACTCACATATCCACAGGTTTCATTGTTGGAATATTGGAAAATACCAACTTTGTGGATACAAAATGCATTTTTAAAGCAAAACCCAGGTTTTGCTGGCCATCTAGATAAGTAATGATTTATGTTTTCCTGAAACATATTACAAAATTTGTAATTGCTTCAGTATTCATCTTTGTGTTCTCAAGAGTGTTCCACTCTTGATTTCTCATTTAATAATGTGAATTAAGCTAATT